CAGCCATGAAGCGCGCGGTGGGGGTAGCTGTGGAGTGGGCGGCATGAGCTCGCTAGGGTCGCAGCACTTGGACACGCGATCATCGCGCGATACACACGCTCTTCCCAAATGCCTCACCGGTTGCAGCTATTTCCTCGCGACGCGTGCCTTTCGCGCGATCGTGCGTACGACTTATCGTGAGGGAGGTCAAGGGGAGTCCGGCAGACCTGTCGAACCATTCGGTACTTATTCTGCTGCGTTCTTTTTGTCAAGGTGCTCCTTGCCGCGGCTCTTTCCCATTGTGACTCTGCCGCCTTGAATCGCGACTCGGGTATAATACAGTGCGTGGACTACTGCTTTCGTGAACTGACACCGTGTGTGACGCTGTTCTCTGTGAGACTGTGGTGAAGTATTAAAGAAGATTCTTCGAGAAGATAGACTGGTTATAAATTGATCGATTGCCTGGCCATGGATTGGAGACTCGGATTGCTGTTGTTGACCTGTCTTCTTGTTGACGGTGAGTGACTTTTCATCAGGGGACGTTTCTTAGATGCGTATTAAGGGTATGTGGTAGGGTGTTACGAGGATGGCTTTAGCGCTGTGTCACTCGGTGCCGCAGTCGCAGCTAGAGTAGCGTGCGTTCGCTGGTATTAAAAATTCCAACCTATTCCGACCGTCGTTTGTTCAATAACTGCCGGAACATAGTATCCAAACGCGCGATGGTGCCATCGCGGATTTTCTTCGGAGGAATTTCAGCGGATAGACTGAACGGGGCCAGGCTTGATTGGGTTTCCAGAAAAGTTATGACTGACAGGGATATTGTGCTCGTTAGAGAAAGGTATAAGAAACTTTTTTCGGGCTCATAATGATAGGGAACAGATTTTTCTTACAGTTAGGTTCGTTCTTAACTATCGTTTCAAAAGTTATTGGACTTTCTATGTAGGACAATTTTATTATTACATGTTATATGTAATTATTAATCTTTTGTTTTATCATTATATAGTTTCAAAATCTTTTGTTTTATTATTATATAGTCACATTTGATCAAGATATGATTCGATCGTTACAAACGAGAACTGTGTAACATTTGAATTGGATAATTATATTTTACTGCTAGGGTTTCCTATGTAGATAAATTTTCTTTTATATTTGTATATTATCATTATTATTTTATATTACAATATTCAACTTATCCACAGCAATTAATTATTTTATGTCGCTGTTTTCGTAAATCAGTGGTATTCTATTGTAACAGAATGTTCACTGTTTACATGTTTTTGCGACAATCTCCGCGTTTCGGTATCGATCACAATAAACATACCAAAACAAAGTCAACCTTCGAATGGTAGGACGTTCTAAGAACTGATAGCTTCCAGGCATTGCACGGTAATTCCTTAACTAATCACATCAGTGTGTTTAACAGGTGAAACAATATACTATGGAACAATTTATTATAAGAGTTTTAATTAAATTAAATTAATTTCTATTTATTCGATTGAAAGGAAACACGAATTAATTTCATTTCTATATGCAATCTTTGTATAAATATTATAATAATTTGTGGATTTCGTTTTATTTCGCTATTTTACCAGGCTAGGAAACGTAGCATTCATTTACGCCGCTTGTTTATTACACTAATTACTGTATCTTACCGTACTCGTTAGTGTTGTGTACAAGAATTTAGTATCACTGTTAACACCAGAGTTTACCATCCTATACCTAGATATAAATAATTATAATCAAAATAATATACTGCAAGTAAGTACACTGGTACTAATATTATCGTTAATTAAACTATAACATTTCTGCGAGATATCAACGTATTTTATTCACGATTCAAATTCGCAGTAATATCGAATTTTTTAAAATTTCAACGAAAAATTACGTTATTTCGATCGCTTTGGCAATCGTATTATTAATTTGGTGAGGAACACTGGCGCGCATTCGGTAAGTGGCAAAAACAAGAAACACCGGAAGCCCCGCCATTGTAGCAGACTTGTTAATTCCAGTTGTAAACAGCAGAGATTCTTTTAGCTGATACTCATCTTAAGTATACTTTTGTACGTTAACAACAATGGCTAAAGGATAATGTACTATTATTTGGGAGATTCAGATAAGAGACAGGAAAGCAGTAATATTCCTTTAAAAAGCCAGCAACTCGTGACAATAATAATTATCCCTACTTCGTTAACGAGCCAAACTACTGATTTTGAGCGATTTTTAATTAGCAAATGGCAGTCTTCCTCTCTTGGATATTAAAAAAAAAGAAAACAAAAAAACTCTATTTATAACATGTATCGACCAATCTGATCTACGATCTTTCGTCGTCGTTTTATTATTTGCACGATTCTATTCTGCCAGAATTTACTATACTTTCATGAACGATAATCTGGACCTGGAAATTCCTGGAAATCGAGGAAATTTCAACGCGTTTGACTCTGTCTCCTTGTGATATCTTGCTCGCACTATGTCACCACGGATTATCCATTTTTCGTCCACCATGGAAATTCGTCTCAAAAGTAATTCGTTTTCTAACGTATCGAACGATGCATAATCGAAACGTCATACCTATTGTTACCGCTGCAGCTAACATAAACAGTTCTCAACGCTGTATTTCGATATTCGCGATACTTCTACAGTCTCGTTTATCGCGTGATATAGATTACTTCGAATGAAACTTGATATCTGCTCGTTGTTAATCGCAATATACGCTCTAGAGTGTTTAACGCGTAGACTGCCACGCGAATTTCATATATTTAAAAAATATTTTTTTTTACCCATTCTCAGATATACTACACCATGACATTTAATCTTCGAAAAATATTACGTGGCATTTGCACGTTGTTTCCTGATAACGTTATCTAAATCATTCGCACGGTTGAACAATTTTTAGCCCGTAAGATTTATCTTATTTTAACCTTCTCGAATTACGATATTTCAGTGTTGCTTTAATTTTAGCAACCAGCTACGCGATTTTACACGATATTTAACGCAAGATTGAAAACCGATAACAATTTCTCCATATATTTTTCAACGTTGATAAAACAGACTAGGATTGGGAAATTTCGAAAATGAAAATCGGAAGAACACGACGTTCAACGTCTTAGGAAGAAGTCACGTGCGCGGCGAAAGACTAAAACGCTAATAATATGCCATCAATTATACAAGAAGGGTGGGCGGAAAGTCTGGCGAAACTCCATCAGCGATAACAAGCTGTCGAGAGTTTGTCGTCTTGTATCCGTCTTGTTTGTCGTTGGCACGCGTTTCCAGCGTTCTCGTTGCTCGACGTTGCTCCTTCCAAAACTCATTTCGCGATATGGGGATAAACAAGTAAAACGGATCGAGCTGAGGTTGTACAGCTCGGGGTTTGACCCAATTACCAACCATTGAAATTCCTCCCGGTTTTCCTTTCTTTCCCCCTCTCCTATCATCCATTCTACTCATCCGTGTGTAGCTTGAAGCAATCTTGGAAAAAGGCAGAAGGCAGATTCCGATCAGCGACGTATCCGCGATCAGATCGCGGATAAGCGGCGGCGCTAGTATCGCGTCTAGATGGAACAAAGAGAAACGTGAGCACACGCGTCGACCTCGTCCCCTCTCTTTCTCTCTCATTGCGAACTCCAATTTCCTGATGGGAGTGGATTAATATAATTTGATGGCGCCTCGGGAGAATTATGCATCTCGTGGCTCGATCTTGCTGCGAAGCCAGGGTGCCTCGTTTCGTTTCTACACCTTCGATGCTGGTACGTTCCCGTTGCGAGAGAATTAGGCTGGATGAAGCTTGTTAACGAGTGTCACACGAGAGCCTTTTATGAATATGGATGCGCTCCGGTGTTGGTGCGTATCGAACGATGATAGTTATGGCACGGTGTGGAGGTTAGGTTGAGTCAATTAGTAGGTTAGGACCGACAAGTGAATTAGGGCTTTTGAAATTCTACCGTCTATACCTTACCACGATAGTCTAATGTTTTTTTTTTTATTTCTTCCGATACTGAATTCCTATCACAGTTTTCCAGTTTTACGGAAAATTGGAAAATTGCAGGCTAGATAGAATCTGATACGAGCAATACCAATTCTAGGGAATTTTTTGCCAAGAATTTATCAAAAGGATACAAACGAGCATTACTTTCGGAATCTTCTAGTTGCAAAGAAGAGAGGGGACAGCTTGGCGACGCGAAGCGGTAGAAAAAGATTTCTTATTCTCAAACATAACCTAAAGAATTCCAAGCGTGGGCAAGTTATCGTCAAGATACTACCAGACGCACGACGAACGCCACTTGCTGAATACTCAAGTCCCGTCAGAATCCTCCACAAAGGATGTACAACAGTTGCATCCTAAATATACGGATTTCTAACGTAGAGCAGTAGAAAAAGATTTCTTATTCTCAAACCCAATACGAGCAATACGAATTCTAGGAAAACCTTCGTCAAATGTTTTAGCAAAAGTATGCACGAACAACCACTTTTTCGATACTCAACCCCCAGCAGAATGCTTCTAGTTTAGCAAAGAGCATGAACGCCACTTTCTGAATACCGAATTCCCATTAGAATCGTCGAGCAGCGAAGAACACGGGAAAATTGCAGGCTAAAAATCCTCCGCCGTCCATGAGATCCATTAGCACAACAGGGTAACACGAGAACCTCTAATTATTTCGAGCGGTATAGAATTTGCCGCGTCCGTTCTCCGACTGGGCTCGAGCAGACTCGTCCCTGTGTACAGGTGTTGGCACGCGCGATTCAACCGCGATATCTTCTCGCTGCTTAACGATAACGATCATAATAATTTAATTTAACAGCCGGCGAGAGAAGGAGGTCACAGTCGCATCGATCTTGCCCGGAAAGTCCGCGAGATGCAGCGAGCAAATATTAAAGGGCCACCCCCTCCGTGCCTTGCCTTGTCCCCGTAACACCCCCTCGCCCCCATTTTTCCCAGTTTTCCACCCTCGTTTTTCTGCCATTCTCTCGTTTTCTTCCAACCTTTTTTCTTCCCTCCCCCTGCCCACAAACTCCCTCTCTCCCATTTCATTCTCTTGTCTGTTCGGTGCCTGGACCTTGTGTGTATGAGAAGAAGAGAGAAACAGGGCCAAGACCGTCTACGAAAAATGCAAACTGAGAGCGAAATGTGCTCGAACCACGTTTATTTCCTCGACAACAGCCAGGTTTTTCTTCCAGTCGTTTACGGACCCTGAAGAATCGTGGACCTGGTTGTGGCGCGAGGATATAATAACGTTCAATTACCGCTTCTGTCTCGACGTCTAGGGGTCTCGAGACGTGCCGGGGAAGGCCCGGATTAACGCTTGTTAGCAAGGTTAAAGATGCTGTTCTTCGTGACTGGGAGATTACTGGTTGCATGCGAGCACAACGCGCTTTAAAGATAGAATTAACGCAGGCGAAACTATCAATTTCTAGTTTTTGCAGAAATTTTTATGGATTTTGTAGATTCTGAGTTGCACCTTTTCTTGGGGGAGGGGGCAGCTTGATGAGTTTTTTGTTTTGTCAACTAGCATATAAATTTGA